ATAAACCGAAATAACGTCTTTGCTTTGTGGTTTTTACTGGATTTAACTCATTAACTGCCAATGACGACAAAAGCCGAAGTCTTGGCTGTAAAATAATTTGTTGTTGTTTATAACTAGAGAGTTGTTTATTTAAAAACCATCCGACGCAATCTGTGCCAAGTCTACGCACCCTTTGTGTGGAGGTTCTCATTCGATCCAAGGGGTCGTGCTGGTCATTGCCGGTGGAGTGATATCAGGAACCCGTAGATAGCTCCGATAGGACCCGTCCAGACTGAGATCCCTCGAGGTGAGGGCAGGAAGCTGGAATGCTTATTTGCGTCTAAGGCTGATGTTTGCTTGGCTCTTAGAAGAGCCGGTTGTCTGGTATCAGCCGCAGCGTTGCAGAGGCTTTGACTGGAGGTCAAAGGAGAAGATGTTTTCAAAAATTCTTGTTCCCGAATTGGCCGGTTCGAGAGTCAGCTGGAAACTGAATTAATCGGGAAGTAATTCTTGTTTTAACAAACCACAATGTCATGAGTTTTGGCCAAGTTTGGCAAATCACAATTTGACAAGTTTTGGAGAATTTACCAACATCCCTCCGAAAGCCACGCCTTCTTCAGATACAAAAGGTTTTAACACTTTGTGAATGAGAATCTTTAAAACTCTTATGTGAAGTGAATATTAACCTTAACGAGTATCTTACTGTGATGTGTATGAGGGTAAACAGTGATTAACTTGTTAAATCAAACACATTCTGATTTGTGAATTAAATGGATCATTGTAAGAAGAACATTACTCATTTGAAATTCATTGATTTAAGCACAGGTTATTCATACATTTGATTTAAACATCTTGTTCATTCATCACATATTATTATTTAACTTATAACTGTAAAGTCATGTAGGAGCTTCAAGTAGGTTTGATCTTTATTTAAAGGGACTTTACGGACTTTTGAATTTTTATGCTCACAATTGCCCCCTCAGGCCAAAAGTGTAACGGCAGCTTCAATAGTAGGCTTGTGCACGAGGTGCGCATGCTGTATGTGCACACTCTTTAACGAAAATAACAGCTGAGACAGTCCCTTGTGTGTGTGTGTGTGTGTGTGTGTGTGTGTGTGTGTGTGTGTGTGTGTGTGTGTGTGTGTGTGTGTGTGTGTGTGTGTGTGTGTGGCCCAGAGGACAGGAGAATGCGCAGCTAATTAATTAAATAATTTGGTTCTGTACCTTTCTCTTCAGCACAGCCGACAAAGGGTTATGACGGGTCAGTCCTCCTGCATGCTCAGATCATTCCCTTCCCTTGCTTACGGCGAGTCTCAAATAAAAATTTGGGCATCTTACTGTAAAAAAATATACCATTAATGTAAAAAAGAAACTCTAAAAAAACTATGTTCACATCCAGAATCGAACCCTGGTATTCTGCACGAAAGTCCGACGTTTTACTAGGCGAGCTAAAATGCCAGTGACGTCCTTTGTATCTGTAACATTTATATCCTTGATGACAGCTGAAACAACGTTCAAAGAACGGTTCGGAGGGCGATGCCTGAGCGTGAACGTGCATGAAGCAGCCTGCTCGACCCGAGCAGCTCTCTTTTTCTGTGATTTTACAGAAAAACAGGCAATCACAGTAAAAATGCCAGGGCTCATCCTACAGGACCAGGGCATTGCAGGAGAATGTATGAAGAAGAAATTTATTATTTCTATACATGTTTTGGCTGTCAAACTTCCATAATGTCCCTTTAAGGTGAGGAATCAGCAGTCTGGCTTCTACGCAGAGAGTGCAGGACCTTGGGTGAAACTGTTACGTCTCCAGTGAGGAGCAACACATTGGCAAGGGGTTGTTTTGGGCATCTGGGCCCCGACAGATGGTGCAGCCTTGAATGTGTATGAAAGGTTATGTTGTGTTATTTAGATGGTGAAGAATTGACCCTTTTGTACATTACACCCCGCACCGTGAAAACAAACATTCCAGCTCTAAAGCCGATCTTCATCCACGTACGTCACATGTCACGTGATCAGGAAGCAGAAAATCCATGTGTTAGGAGATCGTTTTGGGCCGTTGCTGTTAATTAAAGTGAGGCGCAAACTGGAAAAGCTTCTGCCGATCACAATTCAACGGATTATGAAAGAACGGATAACGCTCGAAAAACGCAGATTCTTCCTGATGTAACAGGTGAGTCTCCTCTTTGTTTTGTTAGTTTTAGCGTTGACATCATCCTAGCGCGCAACGTTCTGTAACTCTTAAAAAACAGTAAAAACGCTGAAAAACACCGGCAGTGAAGGGCTTTTCTGATCAGGAAGCGACTGCCAGTGAATGAGGTAATAGGAAGAGAGTGAAAGATTTAGGGGTTTTCTTCCTTTTCTTGTTTCAGTTTAAAAATTGAATCCACTTAGATGATCCCGTTTCTGTCTCCCTGAAACAAAATAAGTTGTTAGACTTAACTTCTCATTTTAAATCAACTATGAATTTTCCAACACTGCATCTTTTTAATATTTACTTCATGTGATATCAGTCATAATAAAGGTTGGAGAATTTTTAATGATTATTTGGCTGATCATGAAAATAGTCTCCTACACCTATCTACTGCATTAGCTTCTGATAGAAATTAGATGGTGAAACTCTGACAGATCTACGTCCCATAACATTCATCTGGACTCACAACGGGGAAGACTGTTGTTGGTTTAGCATCCAGGAAAGAGCAGAGAGCATCTCAGCTAGTAGAAGCTAACTGTTAGCATTAGCAACTTCACCACACAGGAAACCTCCTCAAGGCTTGTGCTGTTTATGGAATAAAACATAAATGTTCAAGTCAGTGGTAGAGTCGTGTTACTGTTATCCAGTCAGAGGCAAGATGTCTAAATGTCAGGAAATAAGACTCCAGATCCTGCCGTGTTTGAAGAAACACTCCTCGATGTCAGGGGACTTTATTGACGACAATAAAGGAGCCCTGCAGCAACACGTAAAGCTACATGAGCTAAGGCTAACAGCAGCATGCAACAACCACATGACAACAACAAACATAGCATGATGAAGCATGACTTAACGTGCAGACTAACAACGTATAACAGCTTAACAAATGAGAAACAGGTGTACAAACTTACAGGTACAAGTGGAACAGTGACATCATCGCATTGCAGCATGAACGTAATGGAAGACGCTCTGCTGGCTTCACAGAAGAAACTTCTTCGTACAGGGATCCCCACACTGCCCTCTAGTGGCCGTAGGGATGGGTACCTTTGACATTTGAATCGATTCAGTACTAATTCCCGGTACCTAGGAATCGATACCGGTACTTAACGGTACCAATTTTCGATACTTTTGAGTGTTTATTATTTTAATTCTCTTTTATAATTAAATATATATTTTTCTCAATATATAACAATATTTGATAAATATCACGATAAATAACATACAACTGTTTGTATTTTAACATCGTCCTTGTAGTTTTATAAGCTGATCATTAAACTGAAGCAAACATCTTTACTGTGAACTAAATTTACTGTGTATCTTCATTCCTTTTGCCGTCCTTTTTCATTTGATATTTCCTACCGGGAAGTTAGAATTTCCGAGGAGAAAGCGAACGCACCATTAGCTGATAACAACGGTGGCAATGGAAGCTAACATATCAAGCTAACATTATCTTAAACAGTTTATTTAGCTGCTGGAGCAGATTAAAGCGATGATGCCTCACACTTAGATCGTTGTCGCTTGTTTCATCTTCACCCAATCACCCGTCGCATTTAGTAAAGTGAAGCCAAACTTTAGAGCGCGTTCATGTTCTTCTAGTCGGAAATTCTGAGTTCCAAGGAGAAAGCGAATGCACCATTAGCGAAACGGAAGCTAAGATATCAAGCTAACATTATCTTTAACATTTTATTTACCTACTGGAGCAGATTAAGATGAGGATGTCTCACTTAGATCGTTGTCGCTGGTTTCATCATCACCCAGTTACCCATCACATTTAGTGAAGTGGACCCAAGCTTTAGCGTGCGTTCTTTCTACCATGCTGCTCTGTTTACAACACGCTCGCAGCGAGCGACGACATAACGCGCTTGCGCATGCGCAGCTGTCTGGGCAAGTTCTCGTTATGAAGGACGGGTACCGAAACGAGGCACCGCTTCAAATGACGTGAATCGGTGCTCGGTCGGTACTATGGAATTCGGTCGGTACCTTAAAAAGTACCGAATTCGGTACCCATCCCTAGCAGTGGTACACTTGCCGTGTTGTGCCACTGCAGCAGACTTGTCGGTGCTGATCCCCCCCCCACCCCCACCCCCCAAGTATGGCCTTCAAGGCATTCATTACTGCAAATGTATTGATTAAATGAGTGAACCATACTTTTAACTAGGGCTGGGCAATAAATCGAAAATTTATCGTTATCGAAATTTCTTACTCTTATTGAGATAATATTTCCCATGTCAATAAATTTGATAATAAAAAATTTAACGATGTGTGTAGGTTGGCAACGTTCATGTCCTTTTAAGAAGCTGCACCACCTTGAGTCACTAAAAATGTGACTCAACGTAATACGTGACAGCCCCATCTAGCGGACAACTTATGTTTCCGAGCATACCTATAGTTATCGTCCATTTATCGTTATCCCGGTGAAATCGTCAATAAATCTTGATATTGGTTTTTGGCCATATCGTCCAGCCCTACTTTAACTCTGTCATTTAATATTTATACAGCAGCCAAACCTGGAGCAGCCACCGATGCTGGAAGACCCGAGCTGAATGTCTGACTCGGCACTTGAGGAGCAGCAGCTGTTAATCAGCTGGGGCACACACCTTTTAAGAGGCGTGTCCAAACATGAGGAGCACCACTCCTGTTGCTCTAGGTCACCTGGGTCTGGGTTGCATTACTCAGCTTTTTGTCAAATGGATGGTTGTTTATTTTTACACAAGTTTCACACTCCAGATTTGTTTTGCTGTTTGTTCCTAGTGACAAACAGCTACATTTCCTGTTGTTTTTCATTTTAATGATTGTATCTGTTTGTATTTCTGATGTTTGATTTATCTGTTCAGACTCTTCCGCTGCTCTGGTCTGAACGCTCCGATGCTCTAGGCTTCGACTCAGACCTTCAGCAGCTGTATGCCAACGTTGTTGCTCACAGAAGTTCACGAAAACGTAAACTGTCATCAGAGACCTGTGCTGTGGAGGACCGACCTGCTGCTGAAAAACCTGCTGAGACTTCATCAGCAGCAGCATCATCATCATCATCATCATCATCATCATCATCATCATCAGCAGCAGCAGCATCATCGGGTGAGTTTCTTTTCAATGGTAAAGGAAGCTTCAGATGTTTATATCACCATCGAAACAAAAACTCTAGATTTACTAACTTGTTTTACTTTGTTATGAATCAAAGAAAAACAACTAAATTTCAGATACAATCCTGCGGGCTTTTGGGTTCAGATGGTCACAGATAAATAATGTCTGTACAAATCTTAGGGAAGAAGAATTTAAAGTTTTTTTAACACTTTATGGAGGTTTTTCAATGTTTTCTGCTTGTTTTGATGTCAGATGTCAGATCTGTCAGCAGGGATCAAAACCACGACCAGGAAGTTCAAACGACCAACAACAAATCAGCAAACAGACCCACAACACAGCAGGTACAGCCTTTTGTACAGCGACAGTTTAGGGTGATGAGTTACTTTTTTCTTTTTTTTTGAGTATTTGATGTGCAAAAAGCCTCTCAGCTTTATAAAACTACGTTAATTGCTGCTGCATGATGTTTTCTTTCCTGCAGTCCCTTCACATCAAGCCCGGCGCTGTGGAGCGACCAACGTCCAAACCAAAGCAGAAGAAAGTGGGACTGTTCCGATGAGTCCAGCAGAACACAAACACATTCAGAAGTCCATTCACAAAACCCTGGTTTTTACTTCCACACGTCATTTTAAAACACTTATTTTAAACTCCTCCAATATTTTTAACACAATGCACTGAAACAAATGTTTACAACTTTTAAATTTAGATAAAATCATGAATTATTAAATGTTCCTGTCTTTGGTGAATGTGATCATCAGGCTCAGTTTTAGATGTTTCAGATCGTCTGTTCAATTTTAATGTTTTAGATAGTCTGCCTTCATTTTGTTTTAATTTAGTATCATAAAAACTTTCAATTAAAGGTTTCAAATATATTTAAATGTTTGTGTTGAGGTGTAAATTATTCTTGTCCAGTTAAAGAACATTTCTTTAACTGTCGTCATGAGTCAGTCTCAGCTCACCGATTCTTCTTTCTCTGACTCAGGCAGACGGAGCATAATGATTGGCTCTGGGGTTTCTTCAGACCACACTGAGATGTTGACTCAAGGTGTCGCAGCATCTGGGGAATGCTACTGAAGTCTTCCTTTAGAAGTTTCTGTTTGTCTGAAGTGTTTCTGTCCCCAGCTCCAGTCTCCAACTCAGGAGCTTTGAATTCTTAAATTAGTTTAAATTATAAAAAGCCAACAGGTAAAATAATACAATTCTTTAATAAAATCATACATGAAACCGGAGGATCTGACAGAAAACACACCAAACACAAGCGACTAAACCCATAGGGGCTGGTTTTCCTTCACACTGATGACATTTAGTTCAGCATCGGGCCTGTAGGAAGCAGAAAAAGCATGAAACGGTTACCTTTGAAGCTATATTAGATGGTTTTATCATCAAATATCTTTGGTTTAACGATTTGACTCCATTCTGCCCTCTAGTGGTCAAACGCTCTGATTCTGCTGTATTTTTAATCCCAGCTAAAGTCTATTAATTGTTGTGGAGTTTGCTTCTGATTTTTGTCTTTGCTCCTAGAGTGGAAATCTTCCAAACTAAAGACTAGTCCACAAAGTGTTTTGTTGTTCAAAGACTTGATTTAAAATGAGTTTTCTGTCTCTGATGTTCACTGGATCTAAAACAGATTCCGCAGCTCAGAGCTGGGCTGTTGAATTTTTGCGCGCGCACCTGCGCTCCTGTCAGCGAGTCTGGAAGGAAACGGGTCCAAAAGGACAGCGCGCGCATCGCGTCCCTCGCAGCTCAGGCTGATATAAACAGATGAAGCTGGCCGCAGGGACGGTGCCATCCCGATGGGAGGAGAGGACGGAGCAGAAGGCAGGTCCAGCAGGGCGCGGTCTTCCTCTGCTCCTGCGACACCTCATCTGTTCTCTAGGACCTCTTCCATTCGTGCCAACAGCGCTGCGCCACAGCGGCGCACTGAGAGCGGACAAACCGCTGCGGGACGTGCCTTGACCGCCGTGTGCAGTAGCCTGCCTACGCCGCGCGCCTCCGCGTCTGTCTGTAGCTCGTTTCTCACAGCCTCGACACTGAGGCGCAGCTTTGAACCTGCCTGCCAAGATAAACTCACCTCACCTATTTATGCCTCTGCCTCCGCGTGCGCTCGGACAGGAGCGTGTCGCCTGTGCTGGACGATTTCTCCGGTCTCCAGTTGCGCAGAAGACGGTTTTACGCGCCGGTATGGCGACTTCTGGGGACTCCGCATCGAGTCCTGTCCCACTTCCTCCAAATTAACCCATAAAGAGGAACCCACGTGAGCTGAGGGGACACTTCACAGAAACAGCCGTGACATTTTGGCCGTGCGCCGTGGTAGGGGGGGTGACACACCGGCCCCGCGGCGGAATGCTGCTCCCGACGCTGGTGACGTGCCTCGCCGGTTGCGCCTTTCTCCTGCTACCGGTCAGTGAGGGCTGCGGACCCGGTAAAGGCCACGGCAGGAGGCGGGGTTCGCGGAAACTGGCTCCGCTTGCCTACAAGCAGTTCAGCCCGAACGTGGCCGAGAAAACTTTGGGGGCCAGCGGAAAGTACGAAGGGAAAATAACGCGCAGCTCCGAGCGCTTCAAGGAGCTCATCCCCAACTACAATCCCGACATCATCTTCAAGGATGAGGAGAACACAGGTGCAGACCGCATGATGACGCAGGTAAACCTCAGCGTTCCATCGGGACCAGAACCACCACACTTTGTCCTTCCTTGTTGCGCGTGGAGTCTTTTACGCATTGGTCATCTCACTTAAATTTGATTGTAAACACACATCCGGATTCCAGTTCTCACTGATCTGCTTTAAATCAGCCACACCGTGCATCTTTATTTAAATTTGAATCAGGTTTAATGTGAATTCATTTTAGCTCCGTGGACAAAAGCAGCCTGTTTGCGCAACTCATTTCTCCAGTCGATTCTCAGACCCTGCGGCTTGTTGACACAGTGGAGTCTGACTCGGTGACCCGCCTGAGTCCAGACTGAAGTTTCAGAGGTTCACTGTGGGCAGCTCGTGCGTAAAGGAGGGCAACCCCATCTAAAAAAGAAAGCACAGCGGTCGCTTTTAATTAAAACACTCTGTCCTCTGTTTTACATCATGTTTTTGGTGGAAAAACAGCCAAAAGTCGTATTGGTTTGAGCCCGGGTCACGCGCGACTTGATGTTTACCGTTTTTAGCCCTGCTGGTCTGAGTTAACAGTCGCCTTTTGGACTGTCAAAAATTTTTACGACATCTGCATTGATGTGGCCCCGCGTGGAATTTATTTGACTCCCTATTTCCCTGGAATAACGTATTTATATCTGGTTTTTGCGACCGCGGGCTTCCTCCCGAGCTGCTGCGTTTATGTCCACAAACCCACGTGGGGAATGAAAGCGCGCGCGCTCCCGTTTGCATCTGTCACTTCACTGCGCGCGCTGTAAGAAATGTGTGGAGAGAGACGCTGTGCTTTCAGATTTTATGCAACAATAATAATTTTATGTCCAAAAATTGAGCCACGTTGGTTGCAAAATAATGTTTACATTTAAAATTGTTCGGATAAAGATTGACTCACTAACAGAGGGTCGTTCTTTAAATTAAAATCACCATGCGCATTTTTTGTGGCGCGCTCTCGCGGCCTCGGCGCGTCACCGACGCAGACCTGCTCACAATTTATGAGGTCCAAGCCGCAGCAGACAGCCTCCTGCTTGTCTTTTACTATTCCGCGTTACTTTGTGTTTGTTTTCGCAGCGCTCAAGTGCAGAAATAGCCCACTTTACTTGTGTCGAAGCCTTAATTATGCGGATTTTTTATTTTCTTTCCCCCTGCTGTCAAACTTTAGTTTTTATGCGCTTTTCCTGGGCGCTGCTGCAAACAGACGCGCCTGTTCAGAAGGCATCCGCGCTGCATAATGAGGCACTTCTCACATTCTTGTCATTTAATTACATGAATCGTGTAAAGAAATCCCAATGTTTAATGAATAAAATTGTGTTTCTTACAGTTAACAATTTTAGATTGTATCCCAGTCTAAACCAGTCAGCAGCTTGTGCAGTTTTTCTTTTCTTTGAATGAAAACATGAGACGCTGAGAGCAGAGCGCCACTTTGTGCAGCGCAGAGTTGCGCACAGGCGCACGTTGTCAGCCTGTTTGTGCAGCCAGCGGTTCAGCTGCTGCACAAACCCCCGTCGATCCGGTACTTTGAAAGGAAAAGCAGCAGAACGTATCTGATTTATGAAGTCCAGCTCGGTGCTGTGACCGCAGAGAGAAAACACAAGACGCGCTTGTGAAAAGGCATCTGTGGCCGCAGAGCCGCGAGCTATTCTTATCACAGGCAGCATGGAAAAAGACATTTATAGGGTTTAATCCCGGTCTTCAGCTTTAATAGACCCAGATTCATTCAATGCTGCATCACACACGCACGCTCACATCATCCAAACCCAACAGACAAGAACTGAGCCTACATCACCTTTCATCCATTTATGAATTATTAATCCTAATCCAGGCCATAATTAAGAAACTTGACTCAAAATAGCTAAATTATTTGTTGAATCGTACAATTCTTTATTTTGTTTCAATTCTTTATATTTTTACTCATTTTTATAACGTGATTCTCAAAACCACCAATGTCCCCCTGGTGGCGGGTTTCAGTACAGTGTATAAGCCACGCCCCTCTTTGTAAAGGAACTACATACATCTTATGAAATACATCTTAGATTATTTTTGATCCACGTTGCTGCTGCTTGTTTTCTGTAGCTGTAAATAGTTGATGCCTAAAGAGGTCATTTTTTTAGGTGATTGTGGGCAGGTGAGTGGGCGGAGCCTTCAGCCAGGTCAGTGCTTAGGCAAGATTTCCACTCATTCACAATCTAGAGTCCTTGGAAACTGTCAAGTGGTTCAATAAGAGCAGTGTCTATACTTTTTTTTATCAATATACCCTTTGCAGGCTGAGATGAAACAGCTTGCTAACGCAAACCGCTTAACACAAGAGTAGTGAGTGAGTGAGTGAGTGAGTGAGTGAATGAGCGAGTGAGTGAGTGAGTGAGTGAGTGAATGAGCGAGTGAGCGAGTGAGTGAGTGAGAACAACATTGATCCTGTAGACATGAATCCAACAGAAGAAGGTGGAGCAGTGGCAACCCCAGAAAAATTTCAGGGTGCCCCCCACCCCATGGGGGCACCACTGTCAGTGATTATTCTAAAAAAAAAACATTACAACCAGTGAAAAAAAGACCGCCTATTGTGGCCAATATTTTCTTTTACTGTAAGGTTTAGGGAATCCTCTAGGAAGTTCACATAGCTCAGATTTAATTTCTGTAAATATTTACGACTGGTCTGTGCCACCCATGGCTGATCAGTGAACATTGTAGTTTATTATTTTCGATGAGTCCTGCATCTGCCTGCTTTAACTCAGAACCTTTGCTTTAAGTGTTGGCTTTGTTCTGCTCTAGAACCAAAACTGATCGTAAAAGCTATGAAGAATTTGATCTGTTTTTCCTGCTGATATCCGGAGCAGAAAAACTTCTACAAATGTTTATTTTAGTCATCGTTGTTGAGCTGAATAGGACGTTTTTCTTTTCTCTGATGAGAAATGAGTAATTTTTGAAAATAACCTTTATAAGCAAAATGCACATAATTCAGAATTGCTTGTAAGTTCTTAAATTAGAAGAATCCAGTGCTTTGTACTTTCTGAGTCTTTAGATTTTTGTTGTTTTGTTCATTCATTTTATTTGTTTAAACCCACCTGATGTGATTACGATCAACTATTGAGGGTCGATGCAATTTTTTGATTTCATCCGTTTGATCAACATGAGAACATTATACCTGACTTCTGATGAGTCGGAGGAAGTTCAGCGAGTCCATCAGCAGACCGACTCAGACCCTGTTTGCTCACCCTAAACAGACTCCAGGTTTAGAGGGTTGCTTGGGACCCCGACCAGCCCACCTAACCCCACCAGCCTCCATCAGGCTCTAACTTAGCCTCCCGGCTCCCCTCGCTTCACCACAGAGAACAAACAACACACCGACCTGGGGAAGCAGTGCTGCATTGTGGGAAGGCTGGGGCAACCACAGAGATGGGGGTGGCCACTCTGGAAGGGGGAGTTCGTGCATGTTGAATGAGTCTTTATAAAGAATGTCTTTCTTAACTGTTTTAGAGGGGAAAAAAGTGTTAAAATCCAGGAAAAGTGAAATAATTTTCTGTTTCTTCACCCAAACAAACCTCCATCCATCCATCCATTTTCATCCACTTATCCGGAGTCGGGTCACGGGGGCAGTAGCCTAAGGCGAGAGGCCCAGACTTCCCTCTCCCCAGCCACTTGGGCCAGCTCCTCCGGGGGAATTCCAAGGCGTTCCCTGGCCAGATGAGAAACATAGTCCCTCTAAAGGTCTACCTTTAGGTCTCCTCCCGGTTGGACGTGCCCGGAAAACCTCACCATGGAGGCGTCCAGGAGGCATCCTGACCAGATGCCCGAGCCACCTCAACTGGCTCCTCTCGAAGTGGAGGGGCAGCGGTTCTACTCCGAGCCCCTCCCGAATGACTGAACTTCTCACCCTATCTCTAAGGGAGAGCCCAGCCACTCTTAGGAGAAAACTCATTTCGGCCGCTTGTATCCGCAATCTCGTTCTTTCGGTCACTACCCAAACCTCATGACCATAGGTGAGGGTAGGAACGTAGATCGACCGGTAAATCGAGAGCTGCGCCTTCTGACTCAGCTCTCTCTTCACCACGACAGACCGGTACAACGCCCGCATCACTGCAGATGCAGCACCAATCCGCCTATCAATCTCACGCTCCAGCTTTCCCTCACTCGTGAACAAGACCCCGAGATACTTAAACTCCTCCACTTGGGGCAGGACCTCATCCCTGACCCGGAGAAGGCATTCTACCCTTTTCCAAATCAAGACCATGGTCTCAGATTTAGAGGAGCTGATTCTCATCCCAGCTGCTTCACACTCGGCTGCGAACCGCTCCAGCGAAAGCTGAAGATTACGTTCTGATGAAGCCAACAGGACCACATTATCTGCAAAAAGCAGACACCTGATCCTCAGGCCACCAAAACGGATGCCCTCCACACCTTGGCTGCGCCTAGAAATCCTGTCCATAAAGGTTATGAACAGAATCGGTGACAAAGGGCAGCCTTGGCGGAGTCCAACTCTCACTGGGAACGAGCCCGACTTACTGCCGGCAATGCGGACCAAGCTCTGACACCGGTCATACAGGGACCTAACAGCCCGTATCAGAGGGCCTGGTACCCCATACTCCCAGAGTACCCCCCACAGGGCCCCCCGAGGGACGCGGTCAAACGCCTTCTCCAAATCCACAAAACACATGTAGAGTGGTTGGGCAAATTCCCACACACCCTCCAGGATCCCCCTAAGGGTATAGAGCTGGTCCAGTGTTCCACGGCCAGGACGAAAACCACATTGCTTCTCCTGAATCTGAGGTTCAACAATCCGACGGACCCTCCTCTCCAGAACCCCTGAATGCTCAGGAGTGTGATCCCCCGTAGTTGGAACACACCCTGCGGTCCCCCTTTTTAAATAAGGGGACCACCACCCCGGTCTGCCAGTCCAGTGGGACTGCCCCCGATGTCCACGCGATATTGCAGAGCTGCGTCAGCCAACACAGCCCCACAACATCCAGAGCCTTAAGGAACTCCGGGCGGATCTCATCCACCCCTGGAGCTTTGCCACAGAGGAGCTTTTTAACCACCTCAGTGACCTCAGCACCAGAGATTTGAGAGGCCAACCCAAAGTCCCCAGACTCTGCTACCTCACTGGAAGACGTATCAGTGGGATTGAGGAGGTCTTCGAAGTATTCTGCCCACCGATCCACAACGTCCTGAGTAGAGGCCAGCAGCACACCGTCCCCACTATAGATAGTGTTGGTAGCGCACTGCTTTCCCCCCTGAGGTGCCAGATGGTGGACCAGAATCTCCTCAAAGCCGTACGGAAGTCTTGCTCCATGGTCTCACCGAACTCTTCCCACACCTGGGTTTTTGCCTTGGCAACCACCCAAGCCACGTTCCGCTTGGACTGCCGGTACCCGTCAGCTGTCTCTGGAGTCCCACAGGCCAAAAAGACCTGATAGGAACATTTTGGAAGTTCTGTCGGAGGTGGGAATTGAAGCTCCTTCTGACAGGAGACTCTGCCAGACGTTCCCAGCAGACCCTTGCGATACGTTTGGGCCTGCCTGGTCTGACCGGCATCCTCCCCCACCATCTGAGCCAACTCACCACCAGGTAGTGGTTAGTTGACAGCTCCGCCCCCTCTTCACCCGAGTGTCCAAGACATGCGGCCGCAGGTCAGATGAAACAACAACAAGGTCAATCATCACGCTGCGGCCTAAGGTATCCTGGTGCCAAGAGCACATATGGACACCTTTATGCCTGAACATGGTGTTCATTATGGATAATCCATGACTGGCACAGAAGTCCAATAACAAAACACCACTCGAATTCAGATCGGGGGGCCGTTCCTCCCAACCACGCCTCTCCAGGTCTCACTGTGGTTGCCCACGTGAGCGTTAAAGTCCCCCAGCAGAATGAGGGAGTCACCGGAAGGAGCGCTCTCCAGCACCTCCTCCAAGGTCTCCAAAAAGGGTGGGTAGTCTGAACTGTAGTTTGGTGCATAAGCACAGACCACAGTCAGAACCCGTCCCCCCACACATATGCGGAGGGAGGCTACCCTCTCGTTCACTGGGGTAAATCCCAATGTACAGGCACCAAGATGGGTATAACTAGTATGCCCACCCCTGCTTGGCGCCTCTCAGTGGGAGAAACTCCAGAGTGGTAGAAAGTCCAACCCCTTTCAAGGAAACTGGTTCCAGAGCCAGAGCCATGCGTTGAGGTGAGTCCGACTATATCTAGTCAGAACCTGTCAGGCTCCTTCCCCACCAGAGAGGTGACATTCCATGTGCCAAGAGCCAGCTTCTGTAGCCGAGGATCAGACCACTAAGGTCCCCGCCCTCGACTACCACCCGTCACACCCTGCACCTGACCCCTTTGGCCCCTCCCATGAGTGGTGAGCCCATGGGAAGGGGGACCCACGTTTCCTCTTCGGGCTGTGCCCGGTCGGGCTCCATGGGTGAAAGCCCGGCCACCGGGCCCTCGCCAACATGCTCCACCTCCAGGCCTGGCTCCAGAGGGGGGCCCCGGTGACCCACGTCCGGGCGAGGGAACACAAATTCCATTTATATAATTCATCATAAGAGGTCTTCGTATATTTTTTCTGCTTCAGCGCTGCAAAGACAAGCTGAACTCTCTGGCCATCTCCGTGTTGAACCACTGGCCCGGGGTGCGGCTGCGGGTCACCGAGGGCTGGGACGAGGACGGCCACCACTCGGAGGAGTCGCTGCACTACGAGGGCCGGGCTGTGGACATCACCACCTCAGACCGGGACAGAAACAAATACGCCATGCTGGCGCGGCTGGCAGTGGAGGCGGGGTTCGACTGGGTCTACTATGAGTCCAAGGCTCACATCCACTGCAGCGTCAAGTCAGGTGAGAAACCACAGAGGTTGTTTAAGTCTAACAAGTCAGAAAATCTATTGAAAGGAGCTTTCTCGGTTCTGACAAAGAAAAATGAGAGCTTCATTAATGCGAGGTAGTTCACAAATCAGTCACACCATCTCACCTCTGGAGGGTTGTTGTCCTGGTTTACACGCAAGCTCAGACCTTCCCCCCCCCCTGGCGTTTCTTTTCTCTTTTGTTACGCCTCTCCAACATCTCTGGCCTAAATATGAGCATGTGAGGAGTAGGTCCATGACAGGAGGTTTCAGCTCTGCAAAACTCCAAAGTATCCTTCTTACCAGGACATCACTGACCCTAATGACCTTCTGAATGGAGGGTCGAGGGATTCATTTGTAAACTATGCATTTATAAAACTCTCACTACCGTTAAATGGTACTCTACACTTTTCTGTTCAAATTTAAACAAGCTCAGAAAACAAGAAGAACCTCCCATGGTATTGTTCTGGAGCTAGAAGGACCAGCAGAAGGTCTTGATGATGCTGATTTGGGGAGTTATCAAACCTTTACTGGAACCACAGGACACGAGTTTATCCGTATTAGGAGGACTTTAGGAGATAAATGTGCCAATCAACAAAAACAGTAGCAGAAGAAGCCAAACGAGTCATTGTTCCTCTGAGATGAGCTGAGAGGTTCGACTTTCATCAGGTCAGGTTACTTGTTGAGATTCTGTCTGATCCTCATAGCAGCATTAAACATAGTTGTGATAGAAAACCAACCTTTCCCCCGCTTAAATATATTCCTCTCCTGCATCTCGTCGCCCTACCAACATCTTTCTCTTGTCTTACTTCACATGGCTTCATATTAGAAGTCTGAAATTCAGCTTCTCTGAGTGTCTTTTAATCCATCATCCTAACAAGTAGAAATCCATCTTGTTTCCAACCTCAAACTAAAGCACAAATATTCAAAACAAACTGTATTTTGGTGCTCAGGTGTGTGAACTCTGGATTTTTACAAGATCTGAATATTTAAATAGGTGTGATTTGGTCCAGTTGAGTGAACATGTGACACATTATTTAAGACTTTAATCCTATTTTCTCATCTGAAGGAGCAGGTCTGTGATCTAGTCGCATCCGGGTCGCCGCAGCTTTCTTAAAAAAAAAAACTTTTTAGAAACTGTAAGAATAGTTTTAGGATTTTTCACAAGTCGGAATAGTTCTTCATTAAAGGTGCAGTATGTAAGAATATAGTGAGAATTTTACAGTGAGAAAATACAGAATGAGTCTAATGTTTCAGTCATTTTGGAAGGAGGGTTTTACTGAAACATGTTTCATATCCAGCTGGCTCCTGTTTACCATCAGTGAGTGTGGGGTCGTCGTGTCTCCTGCGAGCTAACGCGGCAGCGCCCTCAATTGTAATTTGATGACGTCCGGCAAAAAGCTCCAGAGTTGTTTTTAAGTATTTGCAGTAACCAAATTTTACCACAGGATGTCATTTTTACTTTATTTCCACATAATGCACCTTTAAACTCTTTATTTTCTTTGTATGTTGTGAATTTCTCTTGTCTCGGTGACTCTCAGGAGCAGATTAAACATTTCAACTCCTGAATCAGCTTCTGCTGGACTTCATTTATAGAGCTGGGGATTGATTCAAATTACAAGGATAGATTCGATTCCAATTCTCAAGGATTATGATCAATATTGATATGGGTCAGTGATATTAAAGCATTTGTCTGAGCTGTTACCCTAATTAAATGCCCGTAATTCTGTGATGTAACCCTGACTGAGTTACAGTCGGGGAAACTTTATTCTGACCTAAACTTTAAAAATGACCATCTGGACTTTTCCTTCTAATTTTAGATGTAAAAAGCATGAATTATGTTAAACAATTCAACAGATTTTTTTTTTACCTATGATTCGATTCAATTTGATTCTTGGATTTTTCATGAGAATCCATTCATTACTCATTTAGAAGGGCAGATGGTTAAAATACATTTTTTATTTTGTCACATTTACGTCTTCATAATGAAAAAAGGTGTGCAACACATTTAAGGTTACTTTTCAGCACATTTATTTAAGAAATTACAATATTGTGTCTAAAATGTGAACATAAATTCAAATGATAAAGATTAAATAATGTTTAGGAATAAAAACAGCTGATAGAAAACGGCTCAGAACAGAAAGTTAAAACAATCACCTAACATCACCCCTCTGACATCTCCCCTTTCTTTCTCCCCCTTTTCCTGCTTCCTCCCTCCCCTCCTCCTCTCTTCTCCCCCCCAGATCGGGTGGCCAGGGCCCAGTCCTTGACTTGATCAGAAGGAAAACCAATCAAGTTGGTATTTTTTTCTCTCATTTTGATTTAGACTTTTTCTTCTTCGCTGTTTTTCTTTTAAAACTTCCCTCAGAACCAGGCCAGACCAGATCAAACATTAGGTAGAAGGAAATCAGCACCACTAGGGGGCGCCAAAAGCCGGTGTAGTGTTGTAGACACACAAAACAACAAAAACTACTTTTAACCGAAGAAGAAATCTGCCCATCCTGTTGGTTTAACTTCAGCACTCGGAAACATGTAGCCTCAAAATCATCCAAGTGACTTTAAAACATAAATAAGAGCAGGAATCTAAACGTGTCTGTCGTTAATAGAAAGCTTCTCTTTAACAGTTTTAGTCATTTTAGTGATGCTGCATCACCATGGCAACCTAAGATCGCAGCTGATGCACATCTGTTTACACACAACTAAACCCTAAACATGCAAAGTTCCATTTCACACAAAGACATGCTTCCAGATGATTTACCACAGAACTGTGAGTGTTTCCTTTCAGTACTAATGACCAAAACCCCTCCAGATGTTTCCTGGTGATTTGACTCTAACTGAACTAACACTATCTGTGGATATTTATATTCCTGGGGGTGTTTCGATCTTGTAGGAGACACTTTTAGAAGCTGAGTTGGAGCTTTCTGTCTCTTTTGGATTTATACTTCCTTTTGCTTCGACTCATCTTTCGTCCAGATGTTAGGACGCTTTTCTTCCTCACCTGTGACAGGAAACAGAAGGTTTCATCTGATGATGAAATTATAAAAGACGAAATATTTAGATCTTTTTGCTGATTTGACCTGATTGTTTCCCAGAATTGAAATTGTAATTTAAAACATCTTTTTTTATATATATATAATAAATCAAGTTCCTTCCTGTCTGATGATTGCTCTGTGTCCTCCTCCAGGTTGTCCTTTACCACACTTCTTCCCTCTAATGTTGGAAAAAAAGAAACTCTGAACTGGTTTCGTTTTTATTTATCAGTCTGAAGCCTGCAAATCTGATAACTTTTTCAATGATAAAATCAACATCATGAGAGGATGTGAGACTTTAAATATGAGAAAAATACAAAAAACAGAGTAAATAAGAAACCAAAATTAAAAATCAACCCTGAAATATCATTTATTTGTCATAATAACGTGAGTTTAAAATCGATCAAATAAAAGCACTTTTGTCTATTAGCCTGCTTAAAACACCTCATAAACACAAAAATGTTGTTATTATTGTTAAATAATAATATTAATAATAGATTTTCTATGACTCTAAATAATTATGACTGAGTCAGAACAAAAGTCTGTAAAAGAAAAGTGAAACTACGCTTTAGTTTAGATCCACACCTGCATAAAAAGAATAAAACCTGAGACTAAATAATAAAACCATGAAAAGGAACAAAGCTCGACTGTTGTTAAAAATCTGGACCATTGTTAACGGGTCTTGTTTCTCTTCTCGTCTCTTTTAATCCCCAGATCACTCAGTGGCGGCGAAGACCGGAGGCTGTTTCCACGGCGATGCCTCGGTGACGTTGGAGAGCGGTGCTCAGAAGCCCGTCAGGGACCTGCGACCTGGCGAGCGGGTTCTGGCCTCATCAGGCAGGGAGATGGTCTTCAGTGAGGTTCTGACCTTCCTGGATCGGGACCCAAACACTCACAGACTCTTCTACACCCTGCAGACCCAGACAGGGACTCAGATCTCGCTCACTGCCGCCCACCTGGTCTTTGTGTCAGAAGGGAACTGCTCAAAGGGGGCGGAGCCTGGTCACAACGCCCTCCGGACAGCGTATGCCAGCGACATCCAGCCAGGACAGTGTGTTCTGGTGTCAGATGGTAAAACGAGCCATCTGTCCCAGATCAGCAGGGTCAGCATGAGGGTGAGGAGGGGGGCATTCGCCCCACTGACCCAGGAGGGGACGATCGTAGTAGATGGGGTGGTGATGTCCTGCTACGCCGTCCTGGACCAGCACCAACTGGCTCACTGGGCCTTCGCCCCCCTCAGGCTGTTGTACAGCTGGACCGGGACCAGGAGCACTGAGGGCCACGGTGGTGGGTTGCACTGGTACTCCCAGGTGTTGCACTGGCTGGGCAGGATGCTTCTGGACCCAGGACGCCTCCACCCTCTGGGCGTGGCTCAGCACCACACGTGAGGGCAGAACGGGTCCAAACATGACCCGTCTACACCCGCAGAGCTGCATGAGACTGAGAGGAACTCCAGATGGAGACAGATCAGTTCCTTCAGAGGAACTAAAATCCTCTAGAAACCTCAGAGACGCAAAGACATAAACACCAAGAAAGAAAACGCTTTAATTGCAACCTGAAACCGATGGTTTGGTTCCTTTTTTCATACCCGGAATCCTCTTTTGGTTCGAGTATTTAATATATTTATTTCACATGCAAGGATTGTAACTTAAGGGTTTTAGTTTTATCTGCAGTTTTAGATCCATTAAAGCACTTTCATGTTTACACTAGCTGAAGACTTTGTTCCCCATCTGGTTAAGAGCAATTGAAGTGTGCAGCTATCGTGTTTTTATAACAGAATTAAACACGGGAAATATTTGATAACAAACATAAAATAACAGTTAACTTGGTTATAATTAGTCACAGGGACTTTAGAGCCCAGGAGACTGAACGAAACATGATAATGCATCACTTATGTGTCTTTTTAATGTAGATTACTGATGATTACCTTTAGTAATTTACACATAAACAAATAGCTTTACACAAACAAGAAAATGTTATGAATTCATTGTTCTTTTATTTATAATGGTGAGTTTATTTAACCCACAATTATGAGTATTATCTGTCAGGATGTTCAACAGGACATAAGCTGTCAATTATTCTGTCTGAATATAAAGAAAATAGTTTATATATTTAAGTTTGTTTGCTCACATGTGATTCCAAAGGTTTATTATGAATATTATTGTTGTTGTTAGTGAAGAGACAGAAAAGAGTTTTATTTTTGAAAATAAATGATGTGTAAATGAACTGTTATGTGTTTACTTCTAGGTGATCCACAATAAGACCAAACAAATGACAACAATCAATAAATCATTTCAATTGCAAAGATCATATATATTCAGATCACGTGACCATTGGGGTTTTTGGGGGCTGTAAAACCTGCCACCCAGGTGCGCATGTGCAGTGTCACTGTCAGTGATTGCGTGTCTGCGGCTGTGGAGGAATACTTTCTCCAGGGGTTCGGCGCCGATTTAGACCGAACACCTGCCTCTAACCGCCGGGGCAAAATCGGCATGTGTGCAACAGTTGTCAGTCTGCTAATAATAACAGCGCACTGCACCTTTAAGACGAACAGGAAGTGGAACACCTGCTCTGATTCTGATTCAGATGAAATTTGGATCATTTAGTAGACTAGCCTGTCTGGATCAGTGGTTCTGTTCAACCCTCCTGTCTCTCTCTCTCTCTCCCTCTCTCTCTCCCTCTCTCTCTCTCTCTCTCTCTCTCTCTCTCTCTCTCTCTCTCTCTCTCTCTCTCTCTCTCTCTCTCTCTCTCTCTCACTCTCTCACTCACTCACACGCTCCGGATTAAATTACGCACTGCACCTTTAAGAAGCTGTCATCGGGATTAGGGTTACGCACCGACCGGAGCGCTTTTACTCACAGAAGAGTTTCTGCCTCATCCCGGACCGGACTCCGCCGTACCGGGACGCACTTCACGCCACAAGACATGGCTGAGACCGGGAAAGGGGTCACCGCCGGGAAACTCGCCCTGAACGTCCAGAAGAGACTGAGCAGGGCGCAGGAGAAGGTAGGACACCGGACCGGAACCGTCCTGCTGTGAAACTGGATCTCTTCACGGTTCTCCAGTTTATACTGGATCAGGGTCCGGTAACGGGACACAGAAAAAAGATCTTCTGTCTGGAGGTGTGTTTGGTGATCCAGGCGTTTGAGGCTTTGCCGGACCTCTGTTGTGAACCTTCACCCCTTCTGAAGTGTCTCAATGAAACAATAATATCATTCATATTTTTCTATCAGTGTATTTTCTATTTTTGATGAAAATACCTCACCATGTATTTGTCCAGTTTACTTGTAATAGAAGTCCTCTGGCTTTTATGACTTTGATGAATTCCTGAAATAAATTAGAATTTCATAGATGTTGACTTTAAATCTGATCATTCTGACTTTGGCACCCCTGTAAGGAAACATGAGTTTTTTTTTTGTTGTTTTTAACAGGCTTCCATATTAAATATTTTCCATTATTTTAGCTCTGAGTTTCTGAACTCAGTGGCTGTTCTCTAAAATTCTCAAACTAAATCTTTCAAATGATTAAATAAAAAAAAGGTTAGTTTTGCTCTCTTTCACATTTTTGTGAGCTTCTTAACTCAGAAACATGAACATTTCCTGCCTTTTAAAATAAATACTTGGTGTAAATTAGAAATGCTGGGTGTGAGGAGGAGAAAGCAGCCTGAGATGGAGCAGGTGAGACCTGACCATCAGTCTGAGTTATTATTGTCTGTTCTAATCACTCTTGTTGCTTAAGCTGCAGAGGTTTTAGTCCCTAATCACCTCAGAGCTTCAGCAGGAGCCACCACTCAGTCACCGTCCAATCAGAACACTCCTCTCTGTTTAAAACTGAAACAACCCTCCTCCTCCAGGCAGCAGCTTCTCTAGATGTTTTAAATCCACGTTTGTCTCTAAAACTTCCCAATAAACTAGTGATTAACCCATATTAATAACACAGATAACCCTCTGTGTGATTGGTCCATTCCATCAGCCCTGTTGCAGCTTTATCTGATGTGTTTTTATTCTGACGCTCTGACTTGTTGATGTTGGTGTTTAAAATCCATCATCAGGAGAACATGATGAGATTCTGTTCATTTCTGACTCAAACAAAAGCCGCAGGAGGGATTTAATATTTTCCACCAATCGCTCTGGTTTGAGTAGGTTGTGTTGAATGAAGCTGCAGCTCCAGGATGAACTGTGAGCAGCAGCTGCAGCCTCTGCGTCTCTCTGCAGACTAAAACAGCTTCCACATTCCCAGTGTGTTAGTCCCGGAGCTTATTTAGGAGCATTCCAGGTGCTGAAGCCCGAACTGGATGAGGGTCAAGGAGCCTCAACTCTGTCCGGATGAAGGTGCTGCACTAGACCAGCTGCTCAACTGTAAAACTGCATAAGAACATCAGCTTGAGTTTTCCTCCAGCTCTAAACTCAATCTCATCCTCTGGATGATCCTTTGATGAGAAAGAGATCTACTCGTTCCCACTAAAGAGGGCCACACCAAGGGTGATTTACTTTTTGGAGCTTTTTAATCATGTGATATTGTTATTTACTCATGAAAATAAAAAAGAAAATAATAATTATTGTCCTGTTTCAGCTGCAAATTTAGAATTTTACTTTGGAAATCCTATAATGCGTCAAAGGAAGCTAGTGTCGTCATCAGGCCCTGCTCCTCTCCTGGAAGCTAGTGTATGGTCTGAAACGCAGGACACATGGCTTAGGCGACTAGGCTCATGTAAGAGACTTGGTAGTCTAGTAGTTAGAGTGCTAGACAGGTCACTTTAACCACTGGACTGCCGAGGTCAACACAACAGCAGGCTGGCTTAAAACACTCTTGCAGGTGCTTTTTGTTGGAGCGGGCGTGGGCGGAGCTTCACTAAAACAAACCGTCTTAATTCCGGTTATGAAGTCAGGCCGATGAGAATGACTTAAGATGAATGACTTCTCGACCAATGGTAATAATTATCATTTACTGTGCCTACCTTGCTCTCAGAGGTTTAAAGTACCATGTATGCAGTTTCTGGTTCATGGGGGAGGGGGGGGGGGGGGTTGCGCTTAACAGTAATTATACAATAAATATGTATAAATTTAAAGCCTAGATGCTGTTTGAATATACTGCAATATTGTTTTTGGATGATAAAAAGTGAAGGTGACAAAATTTACTTTGGAAAACCAAAAAGAAGGGGGGGGCATGTCCCCCCCCTGTCCCCCCCCCCCCCCCCCCCCCCCCCCAAAAAGTTAGATCCTTGTATGGAACCTTTAAATCAACCATAAGTGCATCAAAAATAACACTAAAATCTGATGCAGCTGACAGGAAGATAATGTAGTTTCGTGCACTTCTTTCCGCTTTGAGCTGTTAAATTTCACTAGATGTGAATAATAAAATGAGATAATAGTTTATCGGTTTATCGCTGCTGTGGGCATCTAGAGGAGTCACACGACGTCTGATCCACAGATTATTTACAGTCCTCTGTAGGCCTGTGTCAACACACTCGCTACACTCTCACTTCTAGAAATTAAGTAGTAATTAAATGACATTTGACTTGATTAGAGCCTCTGATGCAGCTATTGTTTCCAAGCTGGACCTGAGACTTCTAATCATTTCTCACTAATAAGCGACTTTTGACCCAAAACCGTGGAAACCAGCATGTGGATGGTCAGGAGCAAAGGAAGACATTAAATTGCATCAAATGCCCCAAAGAAATCTACTTAATATGAGTAGTTTGCATTATTATTTAGCACAGATAAATTACAAATTCCTGCCAAAAGTCCAGTTTGTTTAAAGGGTTTTGCTTTTATTGATCAGCTAATCAACCCAAGACTAATAATTATGACAAATAAGAACAAATTCTTCTAATTCTAAACATTGATGTTTGTAGTTTCTCCTCACAACGCGAGGCTCCTTCAGATTTAGCTCAGAGTTTCTAAAAAGGCTGAAGTTTGAGTGTTGATAGAAATCCGAGGAAAAACGTGATCCAGTGACAACAGAAATGGGAAGTTGCTGTATTTCTATTTTAGATTTAAATAAAACAGAAAAGAACCTGTTAAACCTTTGGTCGGCTTGAGACGCGCCGAAGAAGGTCAGAGTATCACCTTCCCTCTGAAGGATGACGGAGGAGGAGGCCTCAGCTGTCTGCTGGCTCGCTGCCCTCCAAGCCCTCGGCTAATCAAACATGCAGAAGACTTTAAAATACTTCAGAAGTGTCAGAAAAACTCTAGAGAGCTGAAATAAACTCATCTTTAATAGGCTGAAAGGTTTAAGTACGTGTATTCTGTTTAAGATAACATGACACTTACTGGTTTGCCCCCAAATAAAAAAGTTAGTTTATCTAAAACACGTCGACTCAGTCAAGCTGACCCGCTTGGACCACACCCTTTTTAACCCACATCACCCAGCATGCCTCAGTGCTTTGGGTGGGCGGGGCATCTATATTTACCCCCTCAGTCTGAATCTCCCCTCAGGGTATTTTAGGGTCTGAAACTAAACACCGACAGACAGAAACACATTTGTTCTTCTGTCTTTGAGAGGACCAAAACGTTTCTTTATTCTAAAACTACAAGCCACAACAATGTAGCAGTCCCTTTCCTCTGGAACAGGAACAGTTGGAGTTTCCTGGAGGAAACTCTTCCACATTTATTCATCCTTTCTGAACTCGGATGGATTTGAGACCCATCCTGGCTGGGTGAAGCGTTCAGAGCCTTCAGCTGAGGGGAAGTCCCCTCCGTCACCAGATTAGTGCAGCAGGTGGTGGAGGTGACGAGGTGGAGGCTCATCCATGTGCTCAGTCAGTCATCTGATCAGATTAGCTGCTGACCTCCATCACCCGACCACAACAAGAATACAACAAGGCTGTAGGATGGATCAGCTCAGAGACGTTCCCCTGTTCAGACGGATAACTGAAACTAATTCATAAGTAAACATTTCAGTTTGTCCAAATCTTTTAAAAACCTGAAATAAATGTGAAGTTACAAAGAGTATATTAATTTCAAAAAGAACACCAAATAAACCTCTGATTGTTGTCCAATGGCTGCTTGAGATAGACCCCTGTCACCCTGCAAGGATAACGGGCATGGATGATGGATGGATGGATGGATGGATGGAAGAATGGATGGATGGATGGATGGAAGAATAGATGGATGGATGACAATAAATGATGGATGGATGGATGGATGATGGAAGAATAGATGGATGGGAGAATGGATGGGAGAATAGATGGATGGATGGATGGATGGATGGATGGATGGATGATAATAAATAGTGCATGGATGATGGATGGATGGATGGATGGATGGATGATGGAAGAATAGATGGATGGGAGAATGGATGACTGGATGGATGGATAATAAATGCTGCATGGATGGATGGATGGATGATGGATGAATGGATGGATGGAAGAATAGATGGATGGGAGAATAGATGACTGGATGGATGGATAATAAATGGTGCATGGATGGATGGATGGATGGATAATAAATGCTGCATGGATGGATGGATGGATGGATGATGGATGAATGGATGGAAGAATGGATGGATGGATGGATGGAAGAATAGATGGATGGGAGAATAGATGACTGGATGGATGGATAATAAATGCTGCATGGATGGATGGATTGATGATGGATGAATGGATGGATGGAAGAATGGATGGATGGATGGATGGATGATGGATGATGGGTGAATAGATGGATGGACGCATGATAAATGGATGGATGGATGGATGGATGATGGATGAATGGATGGATGGGAGAATAGATGGATGGATGGATGGATGGATGGGAGAATAGATGGATGGATGGATGGATGGATGGATGGATAATAAATGGTGCATGGATGGATGGAAGAATAGATGGATGGATGGATGATGGATGAATGGATGGATGGATGATGGGTGAATGGATGATGGGTGAATAGATGGATGGACGGATGATAAATGGATGGGTGTGTGAATGGATGATGGATGGTTGGACATATAAATAGAATAGAATAGAATAAACTTTATTGATCTCACAGAGGGGAAATTCACTTGTTAC